CACTCTCCAGTCACAGGAATATCAGGAGCTGTATCTGCTGTAAGATCATTTCCTAACATTTTATCTATAGACAAACTCATGCCTTCATATATCCTACCAACATCAGTCTCACCCCTTCCATCTCTCATTTTCACTGTGCTGTTTTGCAAGATCCAGTTCAAGTCCATTACAGTATCATACCATGTTCACTCCCATCTATTTTTAAAAACAGTAATTCAAAGCTATCAAATATGTGGTACTATTAATGCAACAATGGCTAATTATTTTATTCTTCAAGCTATGAAAGAAATACACATGTGTGTATATATATATTTGTATTTAATCCCACACTTTTTTGAATGAAATGGGACTGGATAAAAATGAGTCTTTGCAAGAATGGGCCCTTTCTTTAACTGTAAACAACTTTGTTGGGTTACATCTCCATCTGCCTCATTTTAACAGCAAGAATAGTACCAGTAAGTAATAATTACTCTCACCCCAATGCAAGTCCTACCAGCTAAGAAATGCATGAGTTTGTGGGGTTGGTTGTGGTTTTTTTTGTTTTGTTTTTCACTCAAACTACTTCAGGGAAAACAAACAACATACCTCCAGCTGTTTGCTAGCTTCTTCATTTCTCAGTATCAGGGACAACTTGGTACGAAGACTTCGAAAGTGCATATCGATCAGCATATTTGCCCGCTTTGTTGTTACATCATTGATTGACTAAATTTATTAATAAAGAAAACACAGTGGTTTACACATGAACTTTTGAAACAAAGCACTGCCAATGGTATGGTTAGATATCTGTACTTACCAAAATAATAAGCTGGTGGTTTTCAGAATCATATGTTACAGAAAAAGCTCCAACTGCCTTTTTGAAGTCCTTATGTGCAGATTCTTTGGCACACCTAGGAATAAAAACACTACAAAGTTAAAATATAATAACTGCTGCATGTATGGTTCACAACCAAAAAGATTTATTTCTTAATACAAAGAATCTAAATAGATATATCCAAGTTCTCCCTTTTAATGCAGGTGTTATTTTATTCTGTTATCATTTATTTTACTCATTTTTCTTTAATTTGTTTTCATGAGTGGGATTAGAAATATTGCAAAATTTTCTGTATGTACATCTATAAAATGACAAACCAGTTAAGCAAAACTACATTAAAAAGCTGTAATTGTTACAATCAGCATGTCCAAAATTTCACACACACCATGAATCAGTATGATGTGTGACTTCACTGTAACCACTGCAGCATTCTAATGACCTTATGCTCATCCCATGCTGTATTTTGCTTCTCCAGGTTTCTTTCGTCCACTCGCTACTTAGTGAATTTGTGTGCTACATCACTAACTTCAGAAATTCTTAGTTTAACCTGAATCTATGGTTTACTCCACACTGAGGCAATAACACATATCTCAAAAAAGCAGAAAGTGATCCGAGGCTAAAAAAGGGGAGTCGGAATTAATCTAAGTTTTAAAGCTATGTTTACATGAGAACATCATGCCTGTGTTCTAGGAGAAAACTAGTTGTTTCCATACTATGGGAGGTTTGATTATTGCACAACTATTCCCACAGTCATCATCAAAACATCTCATGCCCTACAATATACGGCAGCGTTTTCTTTTGTAATTAAATATCAACTTGCACAGATTGTCAGATACTATGAATGAAAGAGTTACCACTTCAAAATTATCAATAAAAGTTGACAAAGAATGGATTCAGATTAATCTGTGCACATCACTGAACAGCTCTAAGAATAAAAATCTTACTCTATACTGCACACAAACCTTAAAACTTTGAAGAAAGTATTTCTTCCTCCAGGACTAAACTGCATTTCAAAAAGGATCTTTTCTATTTCTGAAGTATGAGCATGTCCACATTTGTATTTTCTACATTCTTATATGAAAATTTTAAAAGTTAATTTAGAGCAGTAAAAAGCATTTTTATTCCTTCTTGTCTCAGGCTCAAGAAGTTGCCCACGTTTTGAAACAAGTTATAAAGAAATGCTTGTACTTACATTTGCCTTAAATCTTCTGGAACTGCCAGTTTGATTTTATGAAAAGTATCTTTTGTTGCAGGTTTATTAGGGTTCACAGATCTCAAACGCTCAATTGTGACGATTTCGTTGTACGTAGCATCACAGGCTGCATATTCTATTACATAGAACTGATATAAAAATAATAAAATCATCCAAGCCACACATTTTATGACAAGACTGAGCATTACACTAGTAAGTGAAAAGTACTTTTGTTAACTGCACAAGTCAAATTTGAACTTTTCAGGTTAAGATTAACGGTAATTGCAACACTCCTAATCCAGAAACTCTTTGAAAATGAAAAGGGACAAGTTAAAAACACCATGCATATCAATATAAAAACACATAAGAAAAATAAAGTATAAATAAATATAAAAAAATATATATGTGTATATATGCATATTCCTACCTCACCCTTTATCATTCTCACTTTAGCCAACCACCAACAGCAGGGTTCTTTTTCATTTGCCCTGGAATAAACCTAAACAAAATACATACATTACATATCTGTAGCATTCTTAAAAGACATCACAAAAGATGACACTACTAATATGATCAGGAACTCTGCTACAGGAACTAAATCCAGCAGAATAGAGATTTTATATACCAATATAAGGACTATATAGCAAGTATGTAACAGTTGAAATGTCTATTGTAAATAGAGGTAAGAGACAAAATGATGTATATAAGATTGTACAGAAAAATACTATTGCATCCAATCTACTAGTATTAGTTGTTTTAGTCTTGCATACAGTCAGAAGAGAGATAGTTCAGTCTTTTACATCTGTTAATATTTAATCAACATTATTTCTAATTGTGTGTAAGTCTGATGAGGTCCTATGAGTGGGTGGAAGGGAAAGAACAGATATCACACACTTCGTCAGCACATATATGATATTGGCCACATCCACATCAAAGAAGTTCTGCCATTTAGTTATCTTTCAATTGAAAATAAACTTAAATAGCATGCAAGCGAAATGTTCATCTTGAAAGTTTTCTTTTTTTAAAGTAATTATAAAAATCAATTTTATAATTTCATAAAATAAGGTAGTTTTGGGAATGTACTATATTAAAGCCAGTCTCTCTCTATATATACGTAAGTATTTACATATACAAATACATATATTTTATGTACACAGACATATAATGCAAATTATCTCATTCAGCTTGAAGTTTTGGTAATACAGACATTATTAACTTACAGCTGAAGAACTACAGTCCAGCATTGACTTCTAGATTAATTCAGTTCTGATAAAGAACTGCTCTGTAATCAAAGAAATGCTGATCATGTTTGTAAATCAGCATGGAGGCCATGGTACACAGAATTCCAAAATAGCCATATGGTTTACAACTGTCATTCTCTTTTTGATGACATGCTTGACATTGTGTTTTATGTAGTACTTGGAATCAAAAATGTCACAGTATAGAACATGGAAGCAAACTTTTCACTGGCTTCGCTGGTATTTTTCACCCCAACTTCTTGCACTTCTCAAAACAATGTTGTTCATGGAGCACACATACCTCTACTTCATCGCTTTCATTTATATCTTTATTATAGCCTGCAGGTGGCGGAAACCTCACATCATGGAATGGTATTTGTCTTTCTGGTTGCCAGCTACAAACAAAAATATAGTGAATGAACAGCCTAAACATTTTCACCTTCTTTGTAAACAGAAATCAGAAACATTTTCTTTGCTTCCACTATAGATCATGAAAACTTGATCAGGATTCAGTCTGAACAGAGTTTTAAATTTTCAGTTTCTTTAACAGAGACTGGATAAAATGAGCATGACAAGAAAAGATTATTTTTAAAGAAACTAGAAAACAATTTCCAAAATACAACAGATGATGCCCTTACAAAGATTGACAGGCAGAAGTATATAGCAGTGTGTTATTTACTTCCTGAAGGAAATGAAACCTGAACTAAATGGCATAGTGGAAGTTTAACTTTTTATGCCCTTATATAATTTCATTTCTGGCTTCGAAAACTGGTATTTATCACTTATCTATAAAACACACTTTGTAGTAATGTAATCTGCTAAATCTAAAATACAACATTCACATGAGAAAGACTGAGTCAGGATACCACTGCTGACTTACTCAAACATAAGTTGCCATCATGTAAATTCAATAACAACATGCTTATCTTCCCAACAAAACCCACCTCACTATAGTTTTGTTAAAAGCATTTATACAGAAATGTCACAACATAGTGAATATCAAACATTATTCTAAAACATGCGAGCAGTAAGCTTAGAGTGCCTAATAGATGCTACCCTACATTACTAAGTTATATTTAGGTTAATCAAATGCAAGGCTGATACTCTGTATCATTTATAGGTATAACACCAGCAGTACACTTACTTGTTTTCAAATGCAACTGTTATAGAATCTTCATGCACATCCTTTACAAATGCCTGCGTAGAAAAAAAGGTATAATTATGGTATGTTTATGGATATTTTAAAAAATAATTTTAAACCTGTACAACATCTTCCGTTCACAGATATTGACAAAACTCAAAATTTAAGTACGCTTTCAAGTCAGTCTTTTTAATTTTGCTATAGACTTACATTAAACGCATACTGAAAGCTGATAACCTCCTTGGGTTCACAACTGCCAGCATACTGATACACAGACAGAACGCTCGAGCTACACATGCACTCTTCCTACTTTTGAGAAGTAATGGGAGAGGCTACTAACAAATTACAAGATCATTCTGAAAAGTTTTGATAATGAAAGTTTAAAATGTTTGATTTTATAATCACATTTTGTGTATTTTCACAAGTGTAGAAATTAAACTACAACAGTCCTCCTTAAAAAAAAAAAAAGAAATCCTGTCTCTTCTCTCCTCTCCTTTACCTCAACCTAAGTTAGAATATTGCACTAGCAAAACTCATCTATATCCATTTCAGCACAGTTTTCCCCTTATTTACTTCACCACACTTAACTTCTGTACTGTACAAACTTAAGATAAATGCCCTGCATCCTTCCTTCACTTTTCTTCTGGGGGACGGATAGCAGTTGTGTCAAGTCTCCCATGCAACCACAAAGCAGAGTACAGAACTAAGATTCAGCACTGTGAGGTCTTTTCCTACCTTACATACTCAACTGACTGACCTTTGATCAATTTTCAGCTTCAAGCCCACACGTTCCGCCCCCCCATCCACAGAACAGCAAGATCAATACTCAAAGAACTTTGGGATTTACCAATGAAAATATTTTTCATGGCCTCAAATGATGGAGGTCACAGGGCAACTATGGATGAAAAAAATGGGGTTTTTTTGGTCCCTTTTTAAAAATAACCCTATGAATTTCTGAAACAGGTAAACATTGGCAAAACACTGAGTATTCCACTAATATTTGTCCATATATAGTATATCCTTGCAAGGTAGGTAGATAAAAGCCCATGAGAAAGACTGAGTATAGAAGTTCGTTCTACCAATGGAGATCCATCTTAGTAAACCAAAAAATTCTCAGTAAATTCAAAATAATTTAGCAGCAGCTACCGCTTCTGAAGAATTAGTTAGTGAACTGTGGAACATTTTATTCTCTTCACATTTCAAGTTTCCAAGACAAGAACAGCTCTTATCTCCTACAAAAAGGTAAGAGTTTTTCCTCATATGGAATCTGAATGGTTTAAAAAATTCTTCTGCTATTTCTCCTTTATATATTCCAAAGCATTTCCTGAGTTACAGCAGCATCGCAGTATCAAAGAGCAAATACCTGATGACTGATACAGAGCTCCAAGAACTGGTTATACCAAAATTAAGCAGTACATGCACACAAGTGTCATTACTCAGAGACATTCATTACGAGAAAAAAGTGCAATGCTAGTTGATAATCTGAAAATAATTAACACCACCTTGAACAGAAGTCAAAGCAAAGCCAAAATGACAACAGCAAAACACAGTTTTATACCTTGTTTGTCACTCAATACTGTAAGAATAAGGTTACTGGAAAGTTTATTATTGCTAGCATCCAAAGGAGATTTAAAACAGTCTCTAATAGCATTTACATAATTACATATTTCAAAATTCCAACATACTCCTTCCAAGGGGATTACAAGCTTAGTTGATATTTTTTAACGACATGATACAAAATAAGATTTAAGACGACATCTCAGGATCATGTTGACAGTAGTACAGAAATGCTATTTACATAAAGAGCCAACAGAACTCCCAGTTGATCTTTACGGATACTGAACATATACCTAATGTTTCATATCGCTGTGTCTTCTGTAAGACAATTCCAGAACTGGATATGCACTTGACAAATACTATGGTAGTCCTGACTCATTTTGCATCACATCACCTTCAAAGGCTCCACCCACATTTCTTCCAACGTTTGTCATGTGCAGCTCTGAAGCACCTATTCTTACAGATGTAGCAGAAATGGATGCCTTTAATACCTGAAAAAACACTGTAAGCACTACCAAGTATTTGGTATAACTCCTTCATACTACAGATGGAAAAAGGATAAGACTTGGTATCAATAACACTTGAGTATGCAAAAGCAGAGATTATTTTATAAAGCAGATCCACCAGAAGTTACACCAAGAACACTTAATAGCCTTGAGGAAAACAGATAAGAGTAACACAAGACAATGCCTTGAGAAAGAATTTGTTGATACTTAATTTTCTCATATTCATAAAATAACAAAAAGTCACTTCTCCTGCTACGAAAGACACTTTTGGAGAAGTCGTCACCCCCTCTATGGTGATGAAAACACCAAAAGATGCTCTAAATAGCACTCTAAAAATTGCAGGAAACGACAGAAAAATACACAAGCACAGCAGCAAAGAGCAAGACTACATCTCATATTTGGATCTGATAGCTCATAATATCCAAGTCATCTTGAGTAGAATCCTAGTGACTACAGCAATATACATAACTAGTGGTAACAATGCTAAAATCTACCACTAATAAGTAAACCAGACGATGACACAAATAAGTGTGAGTTATCAAGTTGAAGACTAGCCTAAGACCATATTGAACTACGCTCTCCTGTTTAAGCTCTCCTTAAAGAGGTCTTTGATATTGCTTTGGTCACAATGCAGAAACCTGAAGGAAACTGAACAAGGAACATTAAGGATAACTGTTGACCATACACAGGTAGCATCAATATAGACATTGCTAGTGAAAATTATAAAACCAACATAATTGCTAGTTTATAACAGGTTCAGAAGACTCAGTCACAGAAAGTGATTAAATACCTGGCTTTCACTCCAGCCTGGCCAAAAAAGTTGATGTCATAACTCTGTTGTTTGCCTTTTAATTTCCAGCCTTGCAAAACTACAAAAATTCATTGTCATGAATTTTTAATTAATTACAAAGTAAATGATGCCTTACCAAATACCTGATTTCAAATATGCAATATACACAACACTTCTGACTACCTCCGTGTGAGATTTCTGCTTAAAAAACAATTAACCAGACAAAACATATTAATAGGCTAAATATTTGGTCGCCTAATCCCATCTACCCACAGAAAGGTGGTTTTGCTTGTTCTTCAGTTTCTTCTGACACAAAAAAATGACAGAGATACTTATCACACCAGTTTTTCATAGTCTGCATCATAGCAACCTGTCAATTTTCCTCCACTATAAATAATTAAACAGATCTGTAGTAAGTAAAACATATTTGGACTTTACAGCAGTATACATTTGTACATTTCTAAGTTCTCATGAAAAAATGTAATACTTAACCATTCACGTTTTTGGAAAAACAAAATTAAAATTAAGAGTTGTTTGGTTTTCTTTATTATGTGATGTGTAAAATTACATATATGCTAAAAAGAAATGAGACCTTTAACACCATAAGCCAAATTCACACCAGACACCCAGCTCCAGATACCAGAGGTACTGATTTCACATGAAGTATTACGAAAAATACACTAAGCATTCAGTCTTTTTTGAAATAAAGAGTGTAAGTTGGGCATGGAGATTAAACATAAAGGTGCCTACATGTGAGTTTGAAATGCACACCCAAGAAGGGACAGAACATCGGCTATGATGAATGTGAGCAGATAGATGAAAACCATTAAAAACATAGTGAAACTAGATGGAAGTAAAATGAGGGAACAGGACAGTGAAAGACTACAGCAGCTGGGATATCACTGTCACTAAGAGTACACAAAAAGAAACCTGAATCAGTGAAAAAAGTTTGCTTTTGCTTCTGTGAATAGAAGCACATTTTACAATGGCTAAGGTGGACTCTTCTGTAATGCGGACAAAAATCAAATGTGGTAAGTTTTCTACACCAAATTTGACTTTCAGTCGCATAAGCCATTAACATTTCTCTCCATGCTTCAGACATAATTAAGTAAAAAAGTTTACAATCCAACACTGACATGTCATGGCATTTCTCAAACACATGAGTATTCACATTCTAAAAAGGGTTATATGCTGAAGATATGCTCTAAATGCTACAAATTATTTGATACAAAATAAGAATTATTGGAAAGACCAGTATATTTGTTATTTTTGTGCTAAATGGAATGACAGACACTTCAAAGGAACAAGTAGAGGCTCCAGCTGCCATGAAGTTTTGTTGCTTTTTTTAAAGTCTGCTCATCATCAGACGTGCGCATTGTCAACCATTTTAATAAAGGACGATAATTAACCATAAGGACTGAAAGGAGGGAAAATAGGCTTTTTAAGATTAAAAATGCTATGTTGATACAAATTTGCATCTACTATTTCTGTAACATTTCATACCTGTTGGAATGAGAAAGTCAAAAGGGAACTCACACTGGTAATCAAATCTGAGAAAAGCACAAAAAAAACGGAATAGGGATTTTAGAAGAATAGTCACAGAAATGGTAACCGAACAAGGGAAAAGGGTAGAGGCTACCATCCTCAGCAGGACTGACTAGACAGGCTTGTGAACATACAAAGACATCGAAAGTATTTCCTGAGGGTATGTCTGTATGGAACAGTGAAAGAAAAGAAAAAAATTGGTAAGAAATGCAACAGGAGGCCAAAGGAACAACTGTTAATAGTGAGACCTGAAGTCATAAAAAACTGAAAGAGATTAATGATTTTATCAATTGTAGCTTCAATGAAAAAATGTGAAGTATCTATAAAATCAAGAAAACAATGGCAAAGTGCTGAAACTACTGGGATAACAAGTGGAAGATTTTTAAGAAGGTTACAGAGCAAGCAATGGCAAAAATTGGTGACAGACAACATACAGATGTTAACAGCAAACATCATTCCAAAACTATCCGCTTCAAACAGGATGCTTTCCATCTTTACCAAAGGAAAGAAGGCATAACAACTCCCAAACTGGAAAAGAAAAATCAAACCCATGGTGGAAAGCTCTCCCCTTTTAGAGGGAAATAATATCTAAAGCTAGTTCCAGAAAGATCAGAGAAAGGACTGTCTATTAGTCCTCTGAGAATGAGATAAGAACTTTAA